GTGAAGATACAGGGCTACATGCTGGTGTCGTTCCCCGCCCGCTGTGCTTCCCTTACATAGCACTGATGTACGTTGTCGTGTTACAGGTGTAAGGTGAAGATACAGGGCTACATGCTGGTGTCGTTCCCCGCCGGCATCGTTCAGGTGCTCGCAAACAACCCCAACCTGACGCCGCTCAGCTTCCGACTGCGGGAGAGCAGCCGGATAGAGGGAATCGTGCTCAACCGACAGCTTGTGAGCGTGTGAGTGCTGCGCCCTGCGTCTGCTCATCTCTCTCAGTAGTATCTCTAACCAATAGCGCATGGCACTATAGTAAAGCTTGTGAGCGTGTGAGTGCTGCGCCCTGCGTCTGCTCATCTCTCTCAGTAGTATCTCTAACCAATAGCGCATGGCACTATAGTAAAGCTTGTGAGAGTGTGAGTGCTGCGTCCTGCGTCCGCTCGTCTCTCTCAGTAGTATCTCTAACCAATAGCGCATGGCACTATAGTAAAGCTTGTGAGCGTGTGAGTGCTGCGCCCTGCGTCCGCTCATCTCTCTCAGTAGTATCTCTAACCAATAGCGCATCGCACTATAGTAAAGCTTGTGAGCGTGTGAGTGCTGCGCCCTGCGTCCGCTGCCGCTCGTCTCTCATCAGTAGTATGCTCTAACCATAGCGCATCGGCACTCATAGTACAGCTTGTGAGCGTGTGAGTGCTGGCGCCCTTGCGTCGCCGCTCTCTGCTCATCCAGTAGTATCCTCTAACCCAAAGCGGGCATCGCACTATAGTAAAGCTTGTTGAGCGTGTGAGTGCGTGCGCCCTGCGTGACCGCTCATCTCTCTGCATAGATCTCTAACCAAGTAGTCGCATTCGCAACTATAGTAAAGCTTGTGGAGGCGTGTGAGTGCTGCGGGCCCTGCGGTCGCGTTCGTCGCTCTCAGTAGTATCTCTAACCAATAGCGCATCGCACAATAGGCATGCTGTGTGAGCGTGTGAGTGCTGCGGCCCTGCGTCGCTCGTCTGCTCATCCGTATTATCTCTAACGAAAATAGCGCATCGCACTATAGTACAGCTTGTGAGCGTGTGAGTGCTGCGCCCTGCGTCCGCTCGTCTCTCTCAGTAGTATCTCTAACCAATAGCGCATGTCTCTAACCAATAGCGCATCGCACTATAGTACAGCTTGTGAGCGTGTGAGTGCTGCGCCCTGCGTCCGCTCGTCTCTCTCAGTAGTATCTCTAACCAATAGCGCATCGCACTATAGTACAGCTTGTGAGCGTGTGAGTGCTGCGCCCTGCGTCTGCTCGTCTCTCTCAGTAGTATCTCTAACCAATAGCGCATCGCACTATAGTAAAGCTTGTGAGCGTGTGAGTGCTGCGCCCTGCATCCGCTCGTCTCTCTCAGTAGTATCTCTAACCAATAGCGCATCGCACTATAGTACAGCTTGTGAGCGTGTGAGTGCTGCGCCCTGCGTCTGCTCGTCTCTCTCAGTAGTATCTCTAACCAATAGCGCATCACACTATAGTAAAGCTTGTGAGCGTGTGAGTGCTGCGCCCTGCGTTTGCTTGTCTCTCTCAGTAGTAGCGCGTCGTACCATATTAAAACTTAGGCTCTCACCAATAGCAAGTACCATAGTAAAACTGAGCACGTCACGCCGCGAAGTTTGCGTTCTGTTATCGACGTGCTGCATGTAACGCGTCGCGTTTACAGTAAGACGAAAAAGGGTGGAGAAATAATGAGAGACACTAACAAACACGTCACATCAGGCACTCTTGTGCATTTCTTCTTTGTGAGGTTGCTTCTGATTGCAAGCAGTTCTATTGTATTGCATTGTATCACATTGTAGGTTTGGTTTGGATTATCGTATTGTATTATATCGTATCATATCACACCATATTGCATTGTATTTTGTCGTATTATCATATTGGTTTGGTTTGGAGTACTGTATTGTATTGTATCAGCGTTTCGTTGACGCTCCGTTGTTTTACAGCGACGCGGAGAAGAGCGCGGAGGAGGGGCCGGTCTACGCGTTTGACATGGCCACGCTGCGGGACCACCTGAAGCGGCAGGCAGAGAGCAGCCCGTCAGCTTCCTTCTTCAACGTCGACATAATGAAATACCAGGTTCGTGTGGAGCTGTGTAGGTGGCGCTGCGAGCGGAGCTGTGTAGGTGGCGCTGCGAGCGGAGCTGGGTAGGTGGCGCTGCGAGCGGAGCTGGGTAGGTGGCGCTGCGAGCGGAGCTGTGTAGGTGGCGCTGCGAGCGGAGCTGGGTAGGTGGCGCTGCGAGCGGAGCTGCTGTAGGTGGCGCTGCGAGCAGAGCTGTGTAGGTGGCGCTGCGAGCATTGCTGGGTAGGTGGCGCTGCGAACAGAACTGTGTAGATGGCCCTGAGAGCACATCTGCGTAGGTGGTGCCATAAGCTGAGCGCAACCACAGTCTGTTTGAGTGTCGGGTCCTTGCTCAGGACAGCGTGACTGGTTCGTATGGACGTGGTTCTGGTCATTGGATGTTTGTTGTAGCGATGGGAGAATGCAGACGAGGTATTACAAGCATGTGAGGCCCGACAGGTTTTTGTTTTGTGTGTCGTGTGTTGTTTGTATGCAGGTTTCTTAGAGGTACATACATACGAGTTAGTCACGTACCCTATGCATTCTCTCAACATTTAATTGATGTGGTCGATGTGCTGTCGATTTAAGTGACTACTACACAATCTAATAAATGTGTTTCTGAGTGCAATCGGCTTCCATACGAGAACCAAGTAATTCTAGAACGCTAAACATGCAGCACGGTCGCCACGCATGTTGCACGTGGCCCTCTGGCGAGTAACGACGGTACTAATTGCCTCGGCAGGTGAAAGCGGAGAGCGGCGCCGGCAGCTGCCCGCTGCACCTGCGCTCGCACTGGCGTTGCGACGACGACACGACGAGCCTGCGTGTAGACTACCGCTACCACCAGGCGGGCGCGCACGGATGCACGCTGACGCAAATCGCGTGCGTCGTGACGGTCGACGGCGGTGTGACGAGCCTGCAGGCGATCCCGCAGGCCGCATGGTAGGTCCGCGCGCGTACCGGGGGCGGGGTACGGGTGGGAGAGAGGTGTGGTGAGCATGCAGGCCACGTGGTAGGTCCGCGCACGCACCGGGGGCTGGGTACGGGTGGGAGAGAGGTGTGGTGAGCATGCAGGCCACGTGGTAGGTCCACGCGCATACCGGGGGCGGGGTACGGGTGGGAGAGAGGTGTGGTGAGCATGCAGGCCACGTGGTAGGTCCGCGCGCGTACCGGGGGCGGGGTACGGGTGGGAGAGAGGTGTGGTGAGCATGCAGGCCATCCCGCAGGCCACGTGGTAGGTCCACGCGCATACTAGAGGTGTAACGATACACTAGGGTCACGATACGATACGTATCTCGATACATCGACTGAAAGAAAGATATTGAAGTGCATACTATGATAAATTTGTCATACAAAAAAACAATCAGTTACTATAAATATATTTCTATAGCTGAAACACACTGAGACGTTAGCAGTGTGCTCTAGACTGACCTGTAATCGACAGCTTTACTCACATGCGCACCATACACAGTGCTACAGTAAGTGCGCAGTAACGACACACACCATTCAGTCAGCAGTCATGATTGTTTTGCGATAACAATTGCGGAGAGGGGTGTGGTGATCCCGCAGGCCACATGGTAGGTCCGCGCGGGTACCTGGGGCAGGCTACAGGTGAAGATAGGTATGGTGCAGCTGCCGCAGACTTCTGATCTGCCTCGCGCTCTCTCTCTCTCTCTCTCTCTCTCTCTCTCTCTCCGCCACAGAGTTATAATCCGCTCTCTCTCTCTCTCTCTGGCAGTTATAATCCGCCTCTCTCTCTCCTCTGCTCTCTCTCTCTCTCTCTCTCTCTCTCTCTCTCCTCTCTCTCTCTCTCTCTCTCTCTCTCTCTCTCTCTCTCTCCTCTCTCTCTCTCGCTCTCTCTCTCTCCTCGCTCCTCTCTCTCTCTCTCTCTCTCTTCTCTCCCCACTCAGAGTTATAATCGCTCACTCTCTCTCTCTTTCTCGCCTCTCGTTCTCTCTCTCTCTCTTTTCTCTCTCTCGTCTCTCTCTCTCTCTTTCTACTCTCTCTCTCTCTCTTCGCACAGAGCTTATAAATCCGCTCATCTCTTCTCTCTCTCTCTCTCTCTCTTTCTCTCTCTCTCTCTCTCTTCGCCACAGAGTTCTAATCCTCTCTTTCTCTCTTTCCGCGGCAGGGCCTCCGACACGCAGCGCGTTACGTGGAAGCTCGCCACGCTCAACCAGCACAGCGAGAGCAGCAGCGGCGCCAGCGGCGGCGGCGCGCTGCGCGCCAAGTTCGCGCTCAACAACGGCCCGTCGACGCCGAGCACCCTCGCTGCGCAGTTCGTCGCTGAGGGACGCACGCTGTCGGGCGCGGACGCGGAGCTGGTCGGCCCCGGGTACCGGCTGTCGCTCGTCAAGCGTCGCTACGCCGCCGGCAAGTACTACTGTGATGCCGACGTCGAGGCCAAGTACTCGTAGGTGGCGGCACCGGTCGCTGTTCCCCCCGTCGGACGTCGTCGGTTGCCGTCGGAGGTTATGCGCGTGCCGTCTGTTATCCCTTCTCCGCGCTCGTTCCTTTTCCTTTCGGCGGGTGCCCCCGTCGTCTCCCCGAGATGTCGGGTCGTTCGTCGGTCGAGGTGTGATGCTCGTAAGCGGCGTCCCCTTTCTCCCGATCCTTCCTCGCTCGCTCATTTCCCTTCCACCAGGGATCTCGTGTCGTGTGTTGATCCTTGTGAATTCTCCAGGTCGCGGCGCCTGCGAGGGAGCGTGGTTGTCGTGTGCGAGAGTGGCGGCACATAGATGGCAGCACGTGCGGCGAAAGGGTTTGATAGCATAATGTGAAAATGTCCGAGAGCTGCCGTGAAGTCTGCTGAACGATGGCGGTGCTGCAACGACCATGCCGCTGGCCAGGCACTTCCCCCACGCAGACGTTACATCCCTTTCTTCTTGTGGAAAGTACTGTCATGCTATTGCAGCATGCATCCGTTGCTGGACGTCGCACCCCCCCCGCCCCGCCCGAGAAATTGCCAAATTGTTGTTACACGGAGCGTGCTGTAAGTAGCTTTTCTACAGCAGGTGCAGGTGACCTGTGCTACGTACCCGTCACGTTTCCCTGCCTTGCGCGCCTTCCGTCGAAGCGTCTGTCGGCTGTGAATACGCCCTGCTGCGACTTGCGAGCGATAACAACCAGGACGTCGCTGCTGCATGCTGCCACGACTGATAGCTGAAACCACCTCTCCTCCAACCTATCAATGAATGCTGTTCCTGTGGTGGGAATCTAGTGAGGGTTTAGTGGCGTAGGTCTCGCAGAAAAATTCTACGGTCGTTAGGTCGTTCGACGAATGTCGGCCTGTAAGTGTTTCGGAAACCTAGGTTGCAATGGAAACCTAGGTTGCAATGGAAACCTAGGCTGCAATGGAAACCTAGGTTGCAATGGAAACCTAGGCTGCAATGGAAACCTAGGTTGCAGTGGAAACCTAGTGTAGTAATCGCTGAGATCCGACCATGGCTGCTGCGGTCAGTGGTTGCGCCACTAGCAATTTTCTATCGACCTCACGCGCGTGTTATCATTGCTCCCGTTCCTATGCGCCCTAGCTACACGTATACTAACAACACAGCCCAGTTGACTTGTACGATTATGTATTGCAGTTGCTGTTGGTAATGGTGGCACTGAACCAACGTTGGATTTCTTGCTCTAAAGTGGGAATCTAGGCGAGAGGTGTGTGTAGCTTCCATCTTGTGACGCGTATAGTGCGAAATCACAAGGCGCATGTTAGAAACACAGAATGCTGCTACGCCACGAGTCCCCCTCCTCTCCCTGTTGTTTGTGAGCGATGAGATTTGCATTACGCGGAGTTTAGGATATGCGAACGTCCGTGAAGTTTTTACGTGTTATTTCTACGTACGTACATCATGGCAAGCAAGCTCTGACGTCTTTCAATGAGAACCGGATGGTTATGGAGTGGAGTGGTATGCGGTACGAACATTTCCGTCGTTGATCCACGAACCCATGTTTAATAATAGTACCTATGTATGTACATATGTTTATATATACCGGTACTGTCATAAGCGCATTCATGCTATGTATGTACATATGTTTATGTATATTGGTACTCACATATCTCATGCTATGCGGGGTAGGAGGTTAGCGAATGCATAAAACCTTGGATGCTGGGGAGGGGGGGGGGCAGTGGTGCGTAGAACGAGGGTGGCTAGAACCGAGTCGGTGGTGGCTGTCAAACTCGCAGTTACTCGCAGCTCGAGTTCGTGGTGGCTGCATCGGCTCTATATCAAAGCAGACAATAGCGTGGCGCTTGTCTCCCGTGGAAACGGGAGGGAGGATGATAGACATCCGATTGCCATTAATCGCGTCGTTGCTTCAATGAAACCCATGCGTCCCTGATTTCTGGCTCACATTAGGTAAGAGGCGAGTGGTCCCGTTATAAGGACCGCCGTCCGAAGTAGGTCGTTATTATAACCCTTTTGGGTCCGTAGGCAAGAGCGATTGAGTCGTTCCTATTAAAATTTGAGATATTCGCTTGCGTATCGATTTAGATTGCAGTTTATGGTTAAGTGTATTTTGGCGCTTGGACGTGGGTCATGATAGAGCAAACGTAAACGGGGTAGAAGTGACGTTGATCGATTAGCTGGTTCTGGTAACCCGTAATGTAAATCATAGACTGCTTCCTAATATTTTTACCTATCTTCTTATACGGTTTATAATTGCCCTGCTCACTCGATGTGTCACGTGTAAGAAGGGATTTGTTCGTAACTAATAATCTGTATATTGCTGTCATTGTGAGTGTGCTGTGTAGAAGACTTTGTAATGGCTGGAGATGTTTAGTGTTAGTAGTACGCAGCAGGCAATCTGAACTGTAGGGAAATGGCGATGGCACGTGCAGAACTATGGTATCGAGTATCAGTGTTCCATGTGTTGCTCTGCATTCGTGTCCGGTTCAGAGTCGACCCTTTCACAAACCGATTGTTATGCATAGTGGGATCTTATTTTGGCCCTTGTTTTGCGAGTGCTTAACGGTCTATCGCCTAGCTGAAGTGGCCACATTCTCTGGCGTTACTCCTTCAGTGACGTCATCTGCTCGGCAGGGTGGCGGCCCACGGCTATGGTTGGCCATCGTACTCAGAAATAATTATTTTTACCGCTGTAGAAATAATTTAACCACGGTAAAATTATAGCCGTTTTTACTCAATCGTAGGCCTTGTTACGCATACTTTAATTGCGGTTAAATCATGTGTAACAAGACCTCTGATTGGGTAAAAACGGCTCCAATTTTACAGTGGTTAAATTATTTCTACCGCGGTAAAAAATAATTATTTCTGAGTACGATGGCCAACCACACACGGCTGTATTCGAATATAGAAATAGTATGATGCCGACACAACTCGATTGTGAATAGACTACAGGCCTCAGCTCTTTGATATTAGGCGCTAATCGAACGCCTGTCCATTTCAAGTCGGGATTTGTTCAAAACGAGCTTCTGTAAAGCGGTGTGAGGTTTTAGTGTATATGGTAGCACGTTATGTGCTAGTCGAGTATCGTATAGACACAGGATAATTGATCTTTGTAGTCACTGGTCAAGCGGACTGACTCCGACCGAGTAAAGTCAAAATGAAATAAACCTGGTATTTAATGAACAAAACCCCCCAAAAGCATAAGATAAATGAGGTGTTGTTGTTGTTGTTGTTGTGTGTGGATGTATGGGGAAGTGCGTGTTGTCGCGTGCGTGCGCGTCTGTGTGTATGTGTGTTCCGATGTGTGTGTGTGTGTGTGTGTGTGTGTGCGTGTGCGTGTGCGTGTGCGTGTGCGTGTGCGTGCGCGCGCGCGCGCGTGTGCGTGTGCGTGTGTTTGCGTTTACATTCGAGAATGTGCGTGCGTGTGTGTGTGTTCGCTCACGACTCGTACGTTTGTTTGCATGTGTGTTCGTTTGTTTGAGCGAGTGAGTGGGTGTCGGTATGAAATCAAGTAAGAAACGCAGCAAACATAAGTTAAATGCTGCTTTGAGTGCTGCTTTGTGTATATTACATCTAACAACATGTAGTATTTCTATATCTGTTTACCAATACATTTTACAGATTATTTCTAGTAATATGTATATCCTAACATATTGATCTGTGATTTTGCTGTAAAACATTCTATAAACATCATTCGTATGAAATAAACGTTTTATTGCAACCCTTGTCATAGAAGATATATTGTATTGTACATTGTACATACATCTATAGGTTGTATTGTGTTTTTGGCTTTGTGACTTTTTGAGCTTTCAGTGAACTTATGCTTGACGGGCACGAAAAAATTACATAAAAACATTCAGCTTCTTGGTGGTAATTCGTCGTAATCGTTTTGGATACGTGCACATTATATGCTGTAATATATCCAAAAACACGCATTATTTTGTTGTTGGGGTAGACATGAAAATTATCTATGGCAGCCTCTCAATGTTCTATCACGTCCTTTATTATTTCGTATTTATTTTTTATTACGTCATATTACGACTATAATGTGGGGCGCAAATACGAGATGGATCCTTTAAAATACACGGATTTCCAAAAATAATTTAAATGAGCGCACGCACACGTGAAAACATACACGTTCTGGCATTTAGTCTTCGATATAAAGAGAACTTATTTTAAAAGTCGGTTACCAATATAGTTGCACTTATTTTCAAGAATTGACAACGTGGTCATTAAATGTGCTTTAGGCATATGGCTTTACCGCACCGCTAAACATGCCAAACTCATTCCTTTTCATTTTATTTTCTTAAATAATTTCTTTTCAATCTGTTATTGCATCTCAATTTCTTAGCCATTCGTTTTCTATTTCATTAATTTCATTTTTTAAATTTTCGTTTGCATTTTATGGAAGCACTTATTTAGATTAAGAAGGATGTTGTACGTTTACACGCATGCATACGTACGCAACGTATAAGTTGAGGTTTTTATACACTTTGCAAAATGCCATTGTATATATAGATATATATATATTTCAATATAATGAAATAAAATACGCATTTATTCTATTGCGAAACTTAGGTTGACTGATTACTAAATGTACGCACACAATCGCATTTATCACTAACTCTATATATAAGTTAACTCTATAATATATATAATCAGGAGTGAACAATAATAGATCTATTATCTATCTATAGAATCTATTATTATTCACTCCTGATATGAGTTATCAATGCTCAGGGGAGATATAGTGATCCACTAGGGGCACTACCATCCAGCCGCATTAGGAAATCCATCGTAATCCATCCTATGTTATGATGAAACCCGTATAATTTTGACGGGTGTCTATATTCAAGCCGGTACAGGAGATTACGGTACGCATATATTTGCTAATATATTGACTAATCGTGCGTCAAACTCAATATTCACAGAGAGTATAGCTAAGACATGTGTCTATAGGCATCTAGAATTTTAGAAATTTAATCATCTGTAATTCACTTACGCGCGCATATATTTGGCATTTGCTAATATATTGACTAATCGTGCGTCAATAAACTCAATATGCACATATTCAAGCCGGTACGGGAGATCATTTGCATAATATATTCTAGATACCTATAGACACATGTCTTAGCTATACTCTCTGTGAATATTGAGTTTATTGACGCACGATTAGTCCATATATTAACAAATATATGCGTACCGTAATCTCCCGTACCGGCTTGAATATAGACACCCCCGTTGCTATGTGGTTGCTATCCCTCGGGCGTGGAGGGACAGTCACGTGATAACGTCTTATGACGTCACGCTACGTGGCAGCACTAGTGGTGATGTTCATGCGTTATGCTAGCCGCACACTATCCGACCCGAGCGCGAACGGGAAGCTTACGATTGGATCGGGAGGCTTAAGTTTGGCTCGGGAGGCTTAAGTTTGGCTCAGGAGGTCATTTTGGCCCGATTCGAATTTTGAATCGGGAGCGGATAGTGTGCGAGGGCTTACGACGCAACTCGGATAGTGTGCGTGGCCATCCGACCCGATCAGCGATCTCTCTGTGACTCTCACCCCCCCTCT